TAAAATATAGTACTAGTTGCTTGAGCGTTATTAAATGCGGTCAGTGAACTAAATAAGGCGACCCTGACTTTGCCATTGCCCTTTTGATATTTACCATTATTTACACAAGGTAGTTAATAACCAATGGTCACCTACCTCGGTCTGAGGAATCCATCACAAATTCGAAACGTGCAGCTCTGTTTATTCGGAGCACCACAAGCACCAAAATTTCAGTCAAAAAGTACAAAAAATGTACACCCTACTTTCGTTATTGTAAACATGGCCGGATTTTGACGTACCGTTTTTCTACTCTCGTAAAGACATTTTTTACTCGGTCACTTTATAAAAACGCACAATTTCGTTACACTCTCCATTTATTCAAATACAGTTTTATACAATCGTTAAATAAAACCAGTAAATTTTATTTATCATAATATTTAAGCATTCGAGTCTTAAAAAGTACACGAGATGGCATCACTATCACTCACCAAATGCGCAGTTGCCATGTATCTATTATTTACCCAGAGCAAAGATGGTGTAGTAGGCGAATATGTGATTATTTTCGCGCCTAAAACGCTTACAGCCCACGATCGTTACTATCGTCCTCTTTTGGATTTAACCTTTTAAAGCAACCATTATAATTGAAAGTCTCCTAAACACTATTAAATAAAGCTTGTAAAAGAGTCATGAAGACATACAACCGTTGACTTCTGAGCTTTTAAACACAAATAAAAGAATTTAATTTTTCCAAAATGATTTAGAAGAGGTGACGACTCGCAAAGCCTTTCAAAGGCACGGCTCGTAAAAACCCTTAGGGGCGTTTAAACACAAAAGGTTCTATAGAGCAAGCTTGTAAAGGCTCCACAAGTTATTCGTCCGCAGCAGAAAACAAAAAACTTCATTTAGGGACGCCGCTCATCTAAATACATCTGTCGATGTAAAGGAAGAATCGTCCTTTACGCAGTCAAATCAGACTTTGACAATTTGTGACGTTTTTGTTTCTAGATTTTTACCACTCGAACGTTTGACCTCATATGCTTATTACATAAGGTAGTTAATTTTATAATAATTAATAATAATAATATTGCCTTTATTATTCAAAAAAAAAACAAAGATTTATTCCAGTACATTAAGGGCGAAGTTCAGCACTGCGGCAATGCCACAGTCTGCTCTTCCACTTAACCCCGTTACTACATGTATTACTAGAGGAGAAAAAAAGAGTATTCAACTAAACAAAAAAAAAACAAAGAAAATAAAGAAGAGGTACTTACTTTAAAACCATTAGCTCTTACTACACCAACAAATCATTATTTTGCATTATTTACCCATTGATTGCTAGGCCACCTTTCATTAACGAAATTAATAACATCACTACAATATTGCATTGGGGTAAAAAATGAACCCCCACTTTTTTTTAACGCAAATATACACGTTTTGAAGCACCTGGAATCCGCACCAAACAAAATCTCGACGATGTCGGTCCGTCTGTACTCTCATTTCCGGCTGAACCGACTGGAATCATATTTGGTACATATATTTTTATTTCTTAGACTGTGCTAGCCACAACAATTTTTTTTAATTTTTGTTAGATTTTAATGTGGGTTTAAGTCAAAAAATTGCCGTACGCTCCTCGTTAATTAGACTTACCCGCTAAAAGCGGAAGGATGCCTTTCATTAACGGACTCCTACCGTATGCAGTGGAAATATTCTTACCCCCGTTTCCACACAGGTTTGAAATGGGGACAAAGCCATGAAAAAAAACAAACTCTCGTTAAAATATCACAAAATTCCGACTACGCTAGTGCAATTTTTTTGACGTGCGATTTCAATTTGCTATTGTACAAAAAGCATCTTTGGTTAAAATTTCAGAAAAAGTGGTTTACAATTAAGAATTAAATCTATTTTCGGTCATGTGCGTTTAATGCGTATTTATAATTGCACTTTCTGTTAAAATTTTGGAAAAATGAATATATGATCGTGACACACGCGTAGTAGGCTGGTCAATCTAGGCAGGTTTATACAAGTGAGGTAGAAAAAATTAGTAACAAAGTGATCTCTGCGGAAATGAGTACTCAATAGGGTCCTTATTAACCCCTCAAAAATCGCACTTTGTCGCATTGGTGGAACTTGGAAAAAATGGCCGCCATCTTGATTTTTTTCGAATTTATTAAATATATTTCGTAAAGTATACATTATATCAAAAAAACTCAAGAGACTTTTTTATGGGGAATCAAAAGTTACCTATGATAAAAAAAGTTTAAGTCTATTGATAAAAAAACAAAAAAGTTATTGAAATTTATATGATTTGGGTAATTATCACATCTGAGATGTATTTCAAGAACTTGATGCAGATATAGCAGTTTTAATTAAATCAGGACTTAAAATTATTTTATGTCTTACTAACCTATCATAGCACATTTTATATCTATGATACGCGGGCATAAATTACAACTTTATGCCCTAGGGTATTAAGTATCACCATAGTAACTCATTTATACTTAATGACAAAACAAACAAATATTTGCAGGCCATTGAAAATTAGAAACGTCAATTATTAATTGTCAATACCTACTAAATCACAAGATTGGCCTTATTTTGAATAGTTTCTGGAACTTCTTCCTTAATTCACGATTAATTAAATTATTTAAAATTACGTTTGAAGTTTGGATGGTTTCAATCACATTAACAAATTCGAACCACGCATACTTGATCAAACATAATGATCAATTATTTTGTAAACGCGAATATTTACTTTGACGAAGAAAACTATTTGTAAGACATATTGTACCACGGGCATAAACTGATTTTTATACTCTTGGGCGACTAAAAAGCTCTCGAGTCTATCGGCCCTCGAGAATATAAACATCATTATTATGCCCTTAATACATAAATAATTATTAAATCTGTACCGGTGTCCAAAGAAGATTCATGATATTAACCAGTTACGTCACACACTATACAGGGTGTTTTTTTGGGAGCTTTAGTTAAACGTTTCTGGGAAAGTAAAATAGGTAGGTTTTTGAAATTTTGTACTTAGGAGTTACTCTGAAGGCCGAATCGATGTAAATATTTTCAAAATGGCCGCACTTTCGGAAACACCGGAAGTAGATAGTAACTTCGTTATTTTAAATGACAACCCCTATTTTTTATTGGATTTTTGGATTCTACGTGAAATTTAAATTCTTTTGATACCCATATGTCGATATCTGCCATTTATGGTTTTTAAGTTATTTTGACTTTAAGAAAAAAAAATAGCGGATGCAGATGGTACCTTGATAATTGATTACTTGAAAACGGTTGTAGTCATGGCAACCCATTTTTATCAGTGCATAGAGAATGAATAGGGCTTTCTTTTAGTGCACTTAAAAAAAGTTATGTTGACGACCGCCGCTATGGATATCCAAATTTATGAAACTTCAAAGACTAAAAACTCAGTTTTTTTAAATGGAATGACCATGTTCTTAATATTGCATGAGATAGAGAATCGAAATTGGCATATTTTGATATTACATGTTCCTATAGCTATCTTTAACAGTTTTTGACTTATTCCCATTTTATTGAATTGACACTATTTTTTTCGGATTTTCTTTTTAGTAGTCGGCCATGATTTTATAACAATCGAATTTTAAACAAATATAGTGACACTAATCCGTCACCTACTGTTATAGGTTAATATAAGTTTTTCAAAAATTGAAAAACGTCTGGCAGTGGTTTTACCTATTTTGGAATTTAATTGTTATTTATGGTGAAATGGACAGAATCGCGGCACGTCCTCGAACACTGGAACGAAATTGTATGAATTTTGGAAATGTTGTACCCCCAAATGCACTACAAACCGTTGAATCACAAGTGATACAAAGTTCTACAAGAGAATATTTAAGAAAATGAATTGAATTACAAATGCAAGATTAACAAAATAAATTCAATGCAAAATATAAAAAACTTCGAATTGTTGCTAGAACAGATATCGCATTACCTCTCTTAATTTCCAGGCTTATATTATTATATTATTTCGAAGCTCACTTCATCATCAGACCTTGCTAAAATATATAAACGACTCTAGTGAGCCGATAACCTAATGAAACTAAAAACATTCAATTATTTGCCTCCCTCTACTTACCTGCTACATTAAATCATGAATGTTCTTTGGACACCGGTACAGATTTAAAATAATTTTAAGTCCTGATTTAATTAAAACTGCTATATCTGCATTACGTTTTTGAAATACATCTAAGTCTCGACACAGATGTGAATAATTACCCAATTATTGAGTATTTTACTTTAAAATCCTTATTTTCAAAATTGGGCATACAAAACAGTTTTAACTAATTCAGATAATTAGGTACCAAATTTTAAAAAAATCCATACTGCCAAATCATATAAATTTCAATAACTTTTTTGTTTTTTGATTAATAGACTTAAACTTTTTTTTATTACACGTGACTTTTGATTCTCCATAAAAAAAGTGTTTTGAGTTTTTTTGATATAATTTATACTTTACGAAATATTTAATAAATGCGAAAAAAATCAAGATGGCGGCCATTTTTTTTCCAAGTTCCACCAATGCGACAAAGTGCGATTTTTGAGGGGTTAATAAGGACCCTATTGAGTACTCATTTCCGCAGAGATCACTTTGTTACTAATTTTTTCTACCTTAACCACCTATATTTTGACTAGTCTATAGAGACGAAACGACGGACGAACAAAGCGGCCACAATAGAGCATGTTTTTGGTTTTCTTTTTTTTCAAATACAAATATTATAATAATTTCATTTATCTCAAACTTTGATTGCGTAGACGACAATTCGTAGTGGGTCTCATTATTGTGCAGTTTCTCGGTAGGCCGTATAGAGCAGTACGGCTCTGCACTAAATTGAGCTTATAAAGTGTAAATTGTCGCTTCCAATTTCCGAGATCAGCCATGCTGAACATCGTCCTTTTGTAAAATGCGCTAAAAAAAACAAACGACGGAAACACGCCATTAGAGACACAGCGCAAGCGCATTAGAAAGTGAATGTGCAGTACACTCATCTGTGAGCGAGTTGTGACGGTGATCATCGATAACGGATAAAGACGACATATCTCAGTTGCTTTATTGCAAGGAATTATCCTCTTTTGAATGTCAGTTTATTAACAACGCTATTTACGAATATGGCGAAATTATTACTCTTTGTAATTAGTGCAGTTTTAATTGCCGTACAAGCCGAAGGTAAGTTTTACTAATGTATTGTTTTTTTTGCAAATAACTGCTGAGATTAAGGGGTGTTAAAATGACGTTGTATCTGTCACGTGATAATATCATGTCGCCGTAGGCGTTTTTAGAAATTTCCTTTAGGGTGATGTAATTTTGCTTATAATTCGTGACCTCCGCCATAGGAAATTGTCCTTTGTTATCATTATCACAATCAAATACAGATCATTTCTATTAACATCAGCAGTTCCTTTCTTTAATTTTATAGAAAATTAATATGTACCAATTGTTTTGTTTTAGTATTTCCCCCCCAACCGCCTCCACCCCCACAGAATTCAACTAGTACTTCAACTACTAGTACTACACAGGCACCAATAACAACCTCTACGAAACCGACATCTACTACAAAAACAACACCAGCTCCTGTTCCACCAAAACCGACACCTTCCCCAACACCGAAACCGACACCTTCTCCAACACCAAAACCGGAGCCCGCTCCCGAACCACCGAAACCGAGTGATCCACAGCAAGGCACCTGGCACTATACAGAAACAACATCAACATCAAACGTGACATGCATCAAAATCCAATTTGCTTTACAAATTGTGGTCCCGTACTTTCACAAATCAAGAAATAAGACTTACAATGCCACCGTAAACGTACCGACAAACGCGGTGGTTGCAGATGCAGCTTGCGGAAACGAAACGGAACATTTAAAACTACAGTGGATGAACAAAGATAACGCGACGGATACTGTTCTATTCAAATTTGCTAACAATGCAACGGCTAAGGAGTATGAACTTCAATCAATCGAAATAAATCTGTACCCCGATGATGATGCGTTTCCGGGAATTGAAAGTAAGTCATCGATACAAGATCACATTTTGAGAGCTTTTATTTAACCCTTTGCAGATAAGAACGTAATTAGGTTGAATCATGACCATTCGGAATTTGTTACTGGCGAATCCAACTCGTACAAATGTGAAAAAGAACAGAAATTAAATTTGACGGATGCCGGTAAAGAAACAGGTTTTGCAGGCATCAGTCATTTACAGGTGCAAGCGTTTGGTACTACAAACAGCGATGCTTTCAAAAGTGGTAAGTGTGGCGACTTGATTTATGTAATTGATAATGTACGTAAATTATTTCAGCTATCGACTGCGATGCTTCCAGTACACCCGATGTCGTACCAATCGCGGTAGGGTGTGCACTAGCAATACTCGTTATTGTTGTTCTAGTGGCATACTTAATTGGAAGAAAACGAAGACAGGCAAGAGGTTATCTTTCAATGTGAGTTTAAAAATGTCACTCATTTAGTGATGTTCTTGACATTGTGCAACCATTTTTACGCATTCACAGCTAAGTTATGTTTCTGTTGTCATTCTTTGTAAAACTGGTTGTTAGTGATTTTTTTAATGCTTTTTTTATCTTTGTTTCCAAATTTTTTCTGTTAGTTGTACTTTCGCTTGGTGTCCATCAAGATATTTTTCTTTTCATTAAAATTTAGGCAACCTAGTAACGTTTGAGTAGTTCATTATTACTTTTTCTTATTATTATATAAATATATATATCTGTAAAAAATTAGTTTCTTTTATCCAGCCTTAAAGCGTGTAAAAATACATTTATAACGTAGGTTAAGCTTTCATCGAAAATTTTTGTTTCTTATTTCAAATTGCAGACATTTTTAGACACTCTAAAATGCCTGGTTTGTTGCGAAATAAGGTACCTTTGTATTTTTAAATCGATTGAAAAGTATCAGGCTGTGATGGGTTTTGTCTTGAAATGTAACCACTTTGTATAGACTGTAACATTTAATACAAATAAATATTTGTGGGGTCAATGTGCTTTTTATTTCACTTTTATGTTCTTTTTGTGTATGTACACAGCAAGTGATAACCAGAGCAATGCACATAAAAAATACTTTTTGAAAATATTGTTTTCAGCTAAAGCATAAGTAGTTAACACCAAAATATGGTCGTTTACTGGCAACTGTTTTTGGTGTTTACTTAAGTAGCGTTTTAGTTTAAGTACGGATAGTATCTCAGTGATTCCACCATGTTTTCAATTTTCAGGTTTACCGAAAACAAAAGAGACTCCGATTATATACCAATGAAAAATTTATCTTGTTTCCAATAAATGTGTTTAAGCTTAAGCATTAGTAAAAGATGTGATTTTAGAAACCTATTGTGATATAACAAATTATTTTAGAGATTTCTCTGACTAAGATGTTCCAGTTTGTTTTTACAAGTATTACATTAGAAGAGGTCTATGTCATTAGGTTAAAACGGTTTTTTTAAATATACATATAAAATAATATCTTTGTACACTTTTGGTTATTTTAAAGCCCTTTCTAGTATGAAAACCAAATATATGCAATAGCGATAAAGACTGCAAACTTAATCAAGAACCTAAAATTAACTGTCGCAACCTTTGTTTCATCTGAAAATAAGTGCATAAAAATAGTCTATACTTTTTAGTTTTTCGTACCTCCTCAGGTCTTTCGATCGAAGATAAGTCTACTTAAGCGCTTTTATGTTCGTATTGCATTATCTGATTTAGTCCAGGCTATATAATACTTTTGTATGAAAAAAATTAGTTACCGGGCGAAACCGGGTCGATCTGAGACAATTTTTTTGCGGGCCTCAAAAAAAAGGCAGTGTATAACCTTCCTTTTTTCCAAAAATCGACTGCACCAAAATTTCTCGGGAAAACACTTTTTCTTATTAATTTTGGAGCGTAGAATCCAAAACAATTCGTACTTTTTCGATCAGACTTCGCAATCAAAAGTTATAGACTAGAAACCAATTTCGAAATAAAATTCAAAGGGCTGTAACTTTTGAACTAGTAGCCCAATCTTGGAACTGTTTGAAATTATGGATTCTACAGACCACATTCTATAAGAAAATTTTTTTCCGGGTCGATCTGAGACAATTTTTTTTTCGGGGCTCAAAAAAAGGCAGTGTATAACCTTCCTTTTTTACCAAAAATCGACTGCACCAAAATTTCTCGGGAAAACATTTTTCTTATTAATTTGGGTGCGTAGAATCCAAATCAAAAGTTATGGACTAGAAACAGGGGCGGACTGACCCGGGGGGCGGGTGGCGATTGCCACCTGGCCTGTACGTCATAATGGCCCGTTGGAAATTTATAAGTATGTGCTGTATTTAGTTTCTTGCACTATTAATAAATTATTAACACGTTTCTCTAATTGGAGTTGATGTTAGGTTGTTAAAAAATTCTGTTTTAATTGAAGTGTTTTACAATGAATTTACCATTTTTTGTCGTAGTATGAAAGCGCTGAAATACAATGATAGGCGACGCGCCTCGTTTGGATTGTATATTTTGTTACTTTTAATTCTCAGCTGCAATTTAAAAAAAAATGTATTGTAATTCATTTCCGAAAAAGGAGTACTAAAATGAAGCAAAAAAATGTTTTTGTGGTGCAATTCCACCTGGCCCGTAAGGTACCCAGTCCGCCTCTGAATAGAATGTGGGAAAAAATAATTAAAACAGCCGAATTTTTCCGCGGATGAAATCACGGGGGTTGAAAAGGGTGGAAAGTGGTATTTTGCAAATTGTGGTAAAACTATTGATTTTAAACGAAAATGTTAAATGTAAGAGTTATAGAGATTTAAAAAATGAGCAACTTTTGTATCTGCACTATTTTCACATAACCTCCAATTTTCCTAGAAAAACCGGAAAAACTGTTTTTTCCGTTTTTTATTCTTATTTTTGCGAAAAAATGTCATAGGGATTTGAAGGTAACAGCCTGTTTTATGATAAAACAGAAGATAATTGTTTGGGCCCATAAAGTTGAACCGTTTCCAAGATCTCACGATTTCTGAAAAAATCACCTCTTTTTCAAGGGGATGAAAAATCTATTTTTTTTCATCGTACAGAGGTGCGCGGAGTAGCAAAATTTTCGGGAAGACTTATATTTTAATAAACAAAAATAAAATAGACTCTTATTATTTCCCGAAGTACAACTGTGTGCCATTCATATTTGATTGCCTAGTATACAGGAAGCAATTTTAATTCAAAGAGACTTGCCCGGTAAACAACATATGACGGGTGAATCTTAAATTAAAATTTACGATTATGGGGAAACACATTTTTGGAATACGAATAATTTTAGTTTTATTTTATACAGGGTGGTGACTTCAATGTAAAATTCATAACATGCGATTATTGGCTCCCCAAATTATTTTAGAGCAAAAATGTTTTAAGGTTTTTTGTAGACAAAAATTTTTTACGTTAATCAACCGTATTAGTTTTCAATTTTTTGCATAATCAAGATGGAAAATTGGAAAAATAAAACTCGCATCTTTTTCAATAATCTGTGGTGCCATGGAATTTTCTAAAACACAAAGATATCCAGTTATCAATTAGAAGAATTTGATTTATTTTATAGCAGACATTCCATGGCAAGACGGATATTGGCGTTGTTTTTGTATTATAAAATTCCATGGCACCACAGATTATTGAAAAAGATGGGGGTTTTATTTTTCCAATTTTCCGTCTTGATTATGCAAAAAATTGAAAACTAATACGGTTGATTGACGTAAAAAATTTTTTCCTACAATAAACCTTAATACATTTTTGCTCTAAAATAATTTGGGGAGCCAATAATCACATGTTATGAATTTTACATTGAAATCCCTATGATGCGAAGTCACCACCCTGTATATGATCCTTCATTTAAATAAAATTATGCGAAGTATAAATCGAAAGGGATTTCTCTTTCAAGATACGAAAGAATAATGCATATAAAGAAAAGTGCAATGCCACTAATGGCAAATTTATCGTATATATTTTTAACTTAAGTGATGTACCAATGACCATTAGATACATTGGTCCAAATATAAACAACAAAAGGGGTAACTACATTACACAACAGTCAGATGAAATTTTAACAAATTTTGACACGAACCACAACAACAAATATTTGCAACACACATTAGGCCGCAAAACTGATACGTTTTGCCCAATATCACATTAGCCATTATTGCTAACTAAATATATATACACAAATATAGAACAATTAAATAAGCAGCATAACTATACATATTTCTGTTAAACATGTTATTTATAAGAAGCAGACTCTATACACTAAAACATAGATTTTCCGGATTATGACAATTTAAAATTACAACTAAACACGTCCAGGTTTGGTTTTGTAAAAGTGTTAATTTTAAAATTGAATCACATTACCTAATAACGACATTTCTTTAAAAAGGGATTAACACCAACACAGAATTAGCCTTTTTGTGCAACCGACCTGCAGTGATTAAATAGCTCTAGTCCACTCGACAAAAAACAGACAAAGAAATCTGGCTGCAATTTTTAATATATTAAGAAGTATACACAATTTTACATAACCTATAAACACACTGAACTTTGTACTGAATGGCCCTATGTTGAATTTGGTGTTTGTTAGTCACACTATAAATTCGCTGTTTTAAGCAATTTCAAAAATGAATATTATCTCGTTGCTCGCTAAGATATGCTTTGTTTCCAAATAACAGAATTTCAAAAAAGGAAAAGAATTCGATGAATCACAAGCAAACAGCAGTTGGATACAATTTAACTCGACAAACATTAGTTCTTTTTTTAATTCTTAATGAATAAATTAGAGATTGTAATAAAACATTATTTACATTACACAAATACACTATGAACAATATACAATGCGTCATCCATTTATTGAAATTGTCTTCTCAATGTCCAAAAGGGTAGGTTAATAAATAAGAAAACATCATTTATGAAGTATGGGAGAGAATTTTGCCAATATAACACAATATGCAAATGTGTTGAGAAAAACTTAACAGAAAAGTTAACACTATACAAAAACTTAAAATAGATTTTCTTTAAATATGTTTGCACTAGTTATAACAAAACTGTCTGAAATATTTACAAAGGAGTAACAAACAAATATATGTATATATAGCGTAATCTTGCTTAACACAATAGTAATAATAATAAAATTAGCTTAATCACGAAAGTAAGACTAGAATACTAGTTAGCGTCAAGAAAAGTTATCGGAAACAAATTTGATATAGCAATAGGATCATTTTTGTTCTCTTTGACCACACAGGAAGTTCGCAGATGTACTTCCAATTTGTGGAATGCATTTATACGTAAAAATCGAGATCTTGGAAAGATACATAGTGGCTATGTACCGAAAATTAATTTAAAGCCTCGTTAGAGAATCCGTAAACTTCCAACACCCTTATTTCAAAATCTCCACTTGGACACAATGGCGGATTATTGAATGTTTGGCAATGATCTGTTTTACCATAACGAATGTTTTCATCCATCCATATTGCTTGTCCCTCACTGTAAGTATTGATATGAATCATACATACATAATTTAAAACATTGCAAATAAAAAGATTAGATAATTCTTATTAAAATAAAATAAAAACCGAGCACATCAAATGCCACAAGGATGTAGACACTTGATTACAAAAACAGTTAATGGAGAAATTGCAAAATTTTTTTCTAATGTGACACAAAAGTTGGTTTTAAAAGCACCATGAAGATCAAAGAGAATTCTACTCAGTTAACAGCATCATAGAGTAAATAATATAAAGACTTTTGAACTAGCAGCCCAATCTTGGAACTGTTTGAAATTATGGATTCTACAGGCCACATTCTATAAGAACATTTTTTTCCAGGTCGATCTGAGACAATTTTTTTTGGGGCCTCAAAAAAGGGCAGTGTATAACCTTCTTTTTTTGTCAAAAATCGACTGCACCAAAATTTCTCGGGAAAACACTTTTTCTTATTAATTTTGAGGCGTAGAATCCAAAACAATTCGTACTTTTTCGATTAGACTTCTCAATCAAAAGTTATAGACTAGAAACCAATTTCGAAAGAAAATTCAAAAGGCTGTAACTTTTGAACTAGCAGCCCAATCTTGGAACTGTTTGAAATTATGGATTCTACAGGCCACATTCTATAAGAAGATTTTTTTCCGGGTTGATCTGAGACAATTTTTTTTTGGGGCCTCAAAAACAGGCAGTGTATAACCTTCCTTTTTTCCAAAAATCGACTGTACCAAAATTTCTCGGGAAAACACTTTTTCTTATTAATTTTGAGGCGTAGAATACAAAACAATTCGTACTTTTTCGATCAGACTTCTCAATCAAAAGAATTTTTTTTTCCGAGTCGATCTGAGAAAATTTTTTTTTGGGGCCTCAAAAAAAGGGCAGTGTATAACCTTCTTTTTTTGTCAAAAATCGACTGCACCAAAATTTCTCGGGAAAACACTTTTTCTTATTAATTTTGAGGCGTAGAATACAAAACAATTCGTACTTTTTCGATCAGACTTCTCAATCAAAAGAATTTTTTTTTCCGAGTCGATCTGAGAAAATTTTTTTTTGGGGCCTCAAAAAAAGGGCAGTGTATAACCTTCTTTTTTTGTCAAAAATCGACTGCACCAAAATTTCTCGGGAAAACACTTTTTCTTATTAATTTTGAGGCGTAGAATACAAAACAATTCGTACTTTTTCGATCAGACTTCTCAATCAAAAGAATTTTTTTTTCCGAGTCGATCTGAGAAAATTTTTTTTTGGGGCCTCAAAAAAAGGCAGTGTATAACCTTCCTTTTTTCCAAAAATCGACTGCAGGGAGCGTCGGCATTTGCTTTTCGCCATCTATGTTCAGGGATAGTCTCTCACTGCCACAAATTTATACAGCATGGAACCTCTTTATATTACTTACTCTATGACAGCATATTATGATAAAGATTATTCTTCCTGTGAATAAGGACAAATGCAAACAGCAACAAACCTTACCCTCCTCCAATTGTGATCATTTTCGAATCTGCGGCCATAAACAGTTCAGCACCATGTTGTACTTTATCTCCCTCAATACCAACCCATGGATACTTGGAACGTTCGGGATATAAAGAAAAAAGAAAAGTTTCTCCTGTACCAAAATATGCTTGCCTTTGACCTCTATTGTCCTTTGCGTTCCTTTCACACCATCGGGATGAACAATAAGCACCAAATACCTACCACAAAATAAATTATATAACAAACTCTAAATCGACAAAACAGACTTACTTCATTATTGCACGTTTTTATCATAAGAAGTGTCGGTTCATGCTGTTCCACTCGTACATAGAACGTAGTGAGAGAACAACCGTGTTCTTCGGTCGTGTACAATAGTATCGGTTGGTACATTGTGATTCTAACTGGCAGCCAGGACCAAAGTGTCAAGAGCTAAATGATAATAACCAAATGACATGCATGTAAACCCACATTTAATAATGATATTGCAAACATTTTAAGCAAACTGCCAAATTCTCATTTTATTGTATTATGAAATTTCGTTATTCATTAAACATGCATTTTTAAGAGTAAAGCAAATTTCATCCTAAAATGCCAACAGTAAGAAAGCGGTCAATCATAGAAACTGCAATGAACTGATGAGCATTAATCCAAGGTGCAAATAAGCTTGTGGTGCTCAGATAAAGAAATGATCGTACTACGGACGAGACACTTACGATACGCGCAAAATAGATCACTTATTAAAGGTGTGATTACCTTAACATATGCTCAGTTTCACAAACGACAATTAAGCTTAATGATGTATTAGAATATTACCCATTTTTGATTGAAAGGTAATTCTAATCAAGGATTAACCTTAATAATCATTTGTGAAGCTGAGCATTATACAGTGTGTCCCAAATCGGGTGGGATTGCATGGGTAACTTTGTTATTATTAAAGATAGAGAATTGGTTATATGGGCAATGTTTTGCAGTTTTGGATGCTTATTTAAAATTTCCTTATGGAAATTCAAAATGTCGCATAGGTTCGACGTAAATTCAAAAAAACTAAAATTGGTCATTTCCTTGAATGTCTTATATCATCGAAAGTATAAGAGATATAAAAAAAAGTTTTATATAAAAGTGACTGTCTTTGATACGTTTAATTTAGAATTGATGTCAAAAAAAAATTCAAGATGGCCACTTTTGAGGAACATTTTACCAACTTCCTAAAGTTAAATGGGCGCCATATTGGATTTTTATGCTTATATAAAATTTTGGAGGGAGTTGTAATGCCCAAACCCCCCTCTCATGAGTGCGTCCCTGATTTTTTTAAACATCTGATGTAATTATTTTCATTGTTTTGTTGCCTCGAATAGATTTTGTTTTGTTTTTTTTAATTCATCACAGCCTACTTAATTAAAATATAAAAACCGTTGATATAACTGGTATCTTATTTTCAATCTTATGTTATGATGGCTCGTTGAAAAGAGAATAAAAAAATCTATCAAGTAATCTAAAAATCCCATATGACGCCTATTTAACTTTAGGAAGTTGGTAAATGTTCCTCAAAAGTAGCCATCTTGAATTTTTTTTTGACATCAATTCTAAATTAAACGTATCAAAGACAGTAAAAACTTTTTTTATATCTCTTATACTTTCGATGATCTAAGACATTCAAGGAAATGACCAATTTTAGTTTTTTTGAATTTACGTCGAACCTAAGCGACATTTTGAATTTCCAAAAGGAAATTTTAAATAAGCATCTAAAACTGCAAAACATTGCCCATTTAACCAATTCTATATCCCTAATAATAACAAAGTTACCCATGCAATCCCACCCGATCTGGGACACACTGTATATCTTTTTTAGACTGCCCAAATAATAGTTCAAACTAATGTGCACGTAGAGTATATTATTCAGAATAGACACTTACACTATGATGACTGAGAATACGAGAATTAATATTCTGTATGGGATAAATTCCCATAGAAAGTGATCGAGGACCTGGAGAATGTGCTCCCTTTGATTAGCAGTGAAAGAAATAATAGCATAAACACATGTTAGATAACTTTTTGAACAACATACACAATATATATAGGTGTGAACAACATGCAAGGCACGGTTTACAACAGGGGTTTTTGGTATTATTAAAAAATTGTTTCAATTTTGCTACATTAACGACAGAAGAAGATAAAATTAATATTCTTTAAACTCAGGTTTCACAATACACACTGTATATGAACGGTTAATTATTTCATGTTGATGAAACAGTGCAATGAAGGAAAACAGCGTTAATTTGTAGATTCGACGAGGCTAAAATATGGCCAATTGGTTTATAATAAAATAATTTCTAGCAAAATGAAAAAAAAAAACGTATACGATATTAAAGTCTCCTCGAAATCTGCATATGAGGTACACGAAACAGAGTGGACAGTCAATGCGTACTCATCAATATAAAACTGATACAATACCATTTCATTGTACGTCTCTTCGGACATTCTCTGAAATGCAAATTAACTGTCTACAACGGATTGTAATTTAGCACCCAAACGACTACAGTCACACTAGTAAGTAAACGTTGATTGAGTAGATCAATTAAATGTTTAAAGCAGACTTTGTAAACGTTTGGGTCTACGACACTTACATAATAATATGTTATTAACAAGAAGTGATTACTATTATTATCACTGTACAAAAAGAACAAACCATTGTCCATCACCTTTAATATTTACAAAACTAAAGTTGCCATCACCGAATATTTCAAAAAAGTAATGTACAGCAAAATATTTTTCAAATATCTTACCTCCCTAATTGTAAGAGTATGGGATACCATTTGGATATTATTTTGACTTTGACTGTTTGGCAAATTTTCGGTCGATCTAGAGCGTACTAGCTGTCGTGATCCACTGATGACAGTTTTGCTCTTTAGTACCATCTCAGTACGTAGAAATACCCTGGATATGTACGCCGAACTAAGGCCTCTAATCCCAAACGCAAATTTTAACACTTTTTGTGGTGGTACGGGCATTTCCTTACAAAATTTGATTAAGGCTACATCGACTCCATTTTTTTGTATTTCTGCCATCCATTCGGAGCTTGACGATGATGAGCTTTTGTGAAACAATAGCAGGATTGCCATTGCTACTCTGTAGAAAACCTAAAAGTTAATAGTATGCTACAATAAAGATATGCATATTGTTAAATATGAAATTGTTATTTATTGCTCAAAAATTAGTAACGGTAGCATTAAATAAAATGCTCTTTACCACGGTATGTACGCTCAAACTTGGAATAATTTTACTTAATGTAAAAATTTGACGTTTATCTTACTGCATAAATTAATAATAATGTCCTTATCTATACTGCATTCATTATAAGAAGGTAGTAGATGGCGCTGTGTTTGAAGATCGACACACACAGGAAAAATATAAAACGGCACAAAATTTGAAAAATATAAATATAAATTAAACGATATCACGCTTGGATCTTTAAAACTGACAGCTAATGACAGTTCGACAGTTTAGTTCGTAATTGAAACTTCTAACAGACATAATTCGTCACTCGTTTTATTTTGCAGGGTAATACTGACTTGTGTTTTAACCAATCACAGTGAAGGTCAAACTGTCCCTATGCTTTCTACCGCTACCTTAAAGTACTTAATTGCAAATGTTTTAATCGATAGTTTATTTCGGTGAAAACGAAGGAAGTTAAATTGGAAGTTAGAAGTATAATAATAGTTACCTTAATTCCTTCATGTAAAAAGCAGTCGATAACTCGTACCAAATGAGAGAACGGGAGACCTTGAAGAATCCACCATATCCAGTCGATGTAAATTCTTTCCACTCTAGAAGTAGGGCAGTGCCTTTGGAGGTGAACGGCAGCTGCTTTCTGAAAAGAGTGCGAAACGAATATCAATTTCATTTTGTCTCACAGCCGTCGAAAATCGGGCAATTTTTGTAAAAAAAAAAGAAAACTTTAAATAATTATTGTATTATTATCTTTAATTGGTCATTATTTATTAATGACAGGACAGGTCCTTTTTGACATAAAAGCTCATATAAAAAAAGTTCAGCCCTTCAATACGCCAATCAAATTTGGTTCATTGGCCTTGTTCATTTTTGACAGCCATTGGAGAGGTTTTGTAAAAATAACTAGTTGCCTCACCACAGTTATGAAAAGTACATTAGCAAATATGAGTTGTATTAGTTTATTATAATATTCACTACGTTAAAATTCATAATTAATTAATTTCTTTTGTAAAGGAAGTAGGTTAAAGAATGCCTACTTACCACATGTTTTTTTGCTATTTGCATAACGGTTTTCCAGGTTACTTCAAACAACAATTTTGTTTGCGTTATAAACATTTTTTCCTTAGCAGACACCAAGTTGGTCATACAGTGGTAGCATTCTTCTTCTGCAAAAATAAAAGCAATTAATTACGTTTAGCAGCAATACAGGGTGTTTTTTTGGGAGCTTTAGTTAAACGTTTCTGGGAAAGTGAAATAGGTAGGTTTTTGAAAATTCGTACTTAGGAGTTACGCTGAAGGCCGAATCGATGTAAAATATTTTTAAAATGGCCGCCGGAAACACCGGAAGTAGATAGTAACTTCGTTATTTTAAATAGCAACCCCAATTTTTTATGGGGTTTTTGGATTCTACGTGAAATTTCAGTTCTTTGGATACCCATATGTCGATATCTGCCATTTATGGTTTTTAAGTTATTTTGACTTTAAGAAAAAAAATGGCGGATGCAGATGGTACCTTGATAATTGATTACTTGAAAACGGTTGTAGTCATGGCAACCTATTTTTATCAGTGCATATAGAATGAATACAGCTTTCTTTTAGTGTACTTAAAAAAAGTTAAGTTGCGTAAGACCGCCCCTATGGAGATCCAAATTTATGAAACTTCAAAGACTAAAAACTCAGTTTTTTTTAATGGAATCACCATTTTCTTAATATTGCATGAGATAAAGAATCGAAATGGGCATATTTTGACAATACATGTTCCTATAGCTATCTTTAACAGTTTCTGACTTTTTATTGAATTGACACTATTTTTTTCGAATTTTCTTTTTAGTAGTCGGCCATGATTTTATAACAATCGAATTTTAAACAAATCTAGTGACACCAATCCGTCACCTACTGTTATAGGTTAACATAAGTTTTTCAAAAATCGAAAAATGACTCGCAATGGTTTCACCTATTTTGAAATTTAATTGTTATTTATGGTGAAATGGACAGAATCGCGGCACTCAATGAAATGGGAATAAATCAGAAAATGTTAAAAATAGCTATAGGAACATGTAATATCAAAATATGCCAATTTCGATTCTCTATCTCATGCAATAGGAAGAACATGGTCATTCCATTTAAAAAAACCGAGTTTTTGGACTTTGAAGTTTCTTAAATTTGGATCTCCATAGGTGCGGTTGTATGCAACTTAACTTTTTTTAAATACACTAAAAGAAAGCCCTATTCATTCTCTATGCACTGATAAAAATAGGTTGCCATGACTACAACCGTTTTCAAGTAATCAATTATCAAGGTACCATCTGCATCCGCCATTTTTTTTCATAAACTCAAAATAACTTAAAAACCATAAATGGCAGATATGGACATGTGGGTATTAAAAGAACTGAAATTTTACGTAGAATCCAAAAATGCAATAAAAAGTAGGGGTTGCCGTTTAATATAACGACGTTACTGTCTACTTCCGGTGTTTCCGGAAGTGTGGCCATTTTGAAAATATTTTACATCGATTCGGTCTTCAGAGTAACTCCTAAATACAAATTTTCAAAAACCTACCTATTTTACTTTCCCAGAAACGTTTAACTAAAGCTCCCAAAAAAACACCTTGTATATTGAATACACTTTCATATTAGTATTAAACGTTAGCAGTGTTGTACATTTTCGATGAGATGAAAACAAGTGGAAATAACCTTCACCAGAATTACCAAAAGAATGAGACAAACAACAAATTTGCAAGTGTTATCTACATATTTGCTTAAATGTCATTACATTCCCAGAGGACTTCTTTGAAATACAGTTCCATTTTATGATGAGAAATTTTGAAATTAAAATATATAAAGTGGCTTACTTTTCAAAAATAGCTACCTTAGATAATTTGTATTTGATAGGTACTTATTAAAAATTTGTTTGATGGCAGGTATACCTATTTGCTGTAGCTTTTACACTCCTATTTAATAATTGTAATCACTTCCCCATTCAGTCACTGTCATTATCATTAAAGGACGTAAAATTGTCTGTACAGAAATGCCTAAAAATCAAATTCGGATGGTTAATCACTGATTAAAAATATTAGAATGGGAAACATCTGAGCGCATAATCAAAGAAGGGTAGCATTCTAATATTTTTAATCATTGTTTTAACCTTAATCATCATTTATGAAACCGGGCATAAGACAGTTATAGCAAAATTGGCTCCCCAAAATATGTTAGAGCAAAAATGTATTAAAGTTTTTTGTAGAAAATTCACCCGTATTAGTTTTCAATTTTTTTCACATAGACGGAAAATTGGAAAAATAAAACCCGCATCTTTTTCAATAATCTGCGATGCCATGGAATTTTCTAAAACAAAAAGGTATCCAGTTATCAATTAGCAATGGATTTTATGATCGACTACTCTCTTGCAGTTAATGGTCACTTATTCGAACATTTATTGTAAATTGTTATATTAGGAAACCGTTTTTAGTAATTTGGTCTTTCTTTATGTTGAATTCGCTGTTCTAAATATAATACTTTTTGATAGAATTTCATTTGTTTTATAGCAGACATTCCATGGCTTGACGGATATTGGCGTAGTTTTTGTATTATAAAATTCCATGGCATTGCAGATTATTGAAAAAGTTGCGGGTTTTATTTTTCCAATTTTCCGTCTTTATTATGCAAAAAATTGATAACTAATACGGTTGATTGACCAAAAAATTTTTTTTCTACAAAAAACTTTAATACATTTTTGCTCTAAATAATTTGGGGAGCCAATAATCGCATGTTATGAATTTTACATTGAAATCCCTATGATGCGTGACGCAAGTAGAAAAAAAAAAGGCTGATAACAAATATTTTTGTCAAATAAACAGAGGACCCAACGTTAAAAAAGTGGTGAAATGTGCATTTCTTCTTCAATTTTGTTCACTGCAACCATGAGTTACAAAGATGGATGGCACGTTTTTGAAAATTTGTTTAGGTATGTAAGTATGCATTTTCCGATTTTATAAAAAATCTTCTAAAGGGTGAGGGTGACGCACCCCTAAACGGGAGTGCGAAAATAACTAAGGGTTTTAACAAAACATTGGCCCTCTTGTTTATTTGGAAAAAATATTTGCTTTGGTTCCACTTTTTTTTTATATACTCTTTTGTTTCAAAAACTACCTTCTGTGACAAATGATGATGTGCAAACATATGGAAAGCGTGCACCGACGAACAAACATACAAAAAAGTGAAGACATGAGCGCTTCCACTTGTGGGTTGCGCTAAACTAGAATTAAATTTATTTAAATACATTTCAATACTATGCTTGCCATATACATGACACAGCGACTTACTTCATCGTTAAGGAATTATGTCCGCTCGCACGAATGTGGAAACATCAAACTACCCTATAATTAAATTTATTAATTTGCAAAAGATCTATCTTTGTTATATACAAGTCAAAAATATAATTAGAACTTTATAGATCGTTGTAAGTGCACCCATACAAAACTAAATAGATCTGAGTATAACTCGGAGGATAATTAATAAACAGTTTGGTAGATGCTAAAGTAAAATTAAAAGATAATACACGTCAAGTCCATTGGTTCGCATTACAAAAGATGTTTGAGAAGGAGACAGTAGTAAATAGGCCACCCTAAGATGAACGTTGCAAATAATACATTATATTGTGGATACGAAGGTTACAACGAGGGTGTAATGGCTTACAAAATTGCCACTTTAAACTAGATAAAATTAATAGGCGAGTCATCTTCTCATTAAAGAAAATACTGCAGTCTACCTACAGTAATTGTTTATTCTACAATTGTATCAACGTTAGTGTTTTTATAACTCTTGCCACTTAATTTACATACAAATTATCTAAGTACCTACTTTTGAAATTTAAATAGACTACTCCCTAATACTATTTTCGTATCAATTAAAAACCATATAATCAGGAAAGCAAATCTTTAGGGTTGCAGCGCAAAATATAACTAGTGTCGATGGCATGCTTCCGAGATTTTAGAGGAGGCGACATACTCATTCATAGATCAAAATACCTAATATTGCATTGTTTCAAAAGAATTATACAATCAGCACACAACTAAAATTACCCAATGGGGTCATCCCGCCTTCATTTTTTATTTCTGATCCACAAAGTACATTAAAAATAAAAAGACCCGTGTGTCCTCAATTTTTATTTGCGAGTAAAATAAACCCAAAATAAATTATTGAAAAGCTGTGTTTTTAGTCCGAATTTGAAACGCTTCAGACTAAATACGTCACAAACCTACAACCAATCACGTAGAAGTGAGCTGGCAACCTTACGCGAGGGTCTGACGTTTGTCACATTTGACGTTTTGAGAGGGATGTTTAACTGCATCTAGCACGAAAGTGACAAGTGCCTGTGACAGATGACGCAAGTTATAAATGCCATTCTTCTGCAATATTGCCAAGTTGTTATGTCATCTGAATGGTTCTAGGAGCTGATTGGTCGGGCTTAGTACGTCACAGAGCCCGCCACAATCATATCGTTCTGAATAAACCTTTAAAACCGCACATGTTCATTATTTTTTTGCTAATCGGCCTCTATTTTTAAATAAACTTTTACTGTCCAAAAAAATGTTTTATGGTTTCAGGTACACGCTTATTAAATTAGAACTGCGGAATTCAACTATACTGTAAACCCCCATTCATGCATTAGTCTAGTGGAATTTTAATTACACTAAACATTTAATAACTAAACTTCCGCGTAAACTGCATTCATATAAACTGTAAGATAAAAATATATACTTATCACAAAAACTGTTTATAGAGAAGTGGGAAGAGGTGTGAAACAGGAAACTATTAAGAGCGATGTAATTGTTGATGTCAGTCTTTGTAATCTCGTTGATCAAGATTGTTACATGACATCTACAAATCTTTTAAATAGATCTAAATTACCAACATGTCATACTTAATAGCAGAAATAAATTTTTATACATAAACATCATTTATTTATAAAAACCATATAACTTACATTACTTATTTATTTATTTTTTATTTGAGTTTACTTTGAGTAGGTACCTACGATAACACATCAAATTGAAATAAAATTGTCGATGTTTTGAAATGGTTGTTTTTAATCCTTGAATATAGTATATTGAAACTTTAAGACATATTTGCATATAGACTTTGAGACTTTTTACATTTTTAAGTGTTGC